ATGTCATCCTGAAGATGTCGGACAGGGCGTGGTGTGGGAATAGTAACTTGGGAACAAAGTCTCATCTTGGCTCTTCTAACTCTCTGGAAGTAGTCTCTGCCACTTACTCTGACACTAGTATTTAATTTTCCTGTATCGATTCCATTTTGTTCTGCAAGAGTTTTCATGACTTGACCTGCATTTTGGGGAATATTTCCATTCTTATTTCTAAGACCAAATTTTAGAGCGAGACTTCTCCAAATAACCGTTGTACCAGATTCAAGATGTTTCAAAAAATCAAGGAAATCATTTTTTTTCAACTGATAGTTCTTTGTCATGCCAATGTGACTTTTTTGTTTTTTTTTACCCTCTTTGATTTTGTTTGCTTGCTTTTCAGTTCTAACTTTGGCATTGTTTGGAGTTTCAAAGTAAGTATCAAGGCGCTCTCTATTCAGTTGACTGAATGATTTGCCAGATGCCAAAAAGTTGTTCAAATCATTTGAATTTTCGGAGATAATTGTGTGCATTTTTTCTTTATTTACTTTTGTTTGTTTGACTTTCTGTTTTTGTTTTTGTTCACTTGATGTTTTTTCTGTTAAATTGTAGTGTTTTGAAACTGTTGTTTTCATAGAAGTGTTAAATTCTTTCTCCATTATAGGATCCAAAATTTTGATGACTTGTTCTGGTTTTGAAATTTTCAAGTTTTTCACCTCTGTGAATAGTTCCTCAGTTTTTGACACCACAGTAGTTGCTTCCTTACTTACAGATTTATGGAGGACTGTTTCATTCAAAGACTGTGACTCGCACGGACTACAGTCAACCAAGTTATGCATTTTTCTTTCCTTTTCAGGTAGCATGCACCATTTTTGTAGACCAAAATGGTTAATGAACTGTGCCTTCTCACCGTTTTTGTTTGCATTTTTCCAGTAGCTATTTTTTGTTAAATAATTTTGTAGTCTTGGGAGTTGCCGTATAAAGATTGTGTAAGGCACATGCATTTTGGGGTATTTAAACATAACTTTGTTGTAGAATTCATACCGCTTTGATGCCGTGTAAAGATTACTGAATTTTCCAAGATCAGTAGATGCTGTTAAAGACGAACTATTGTTTTTTTGGCTATAGGAATTCCAAAAATCAATACTCTGGGGGTCTTTGCTATTTCTAGCTATAATTACTTTGGCAAAATTGCAATAATTCATTTTTTTTTTTACCTCAAGGTGACATTCTCCTCCGTGGCATGATGGCATATGTAATCTCGCAGTTATGTGAGATTTGAAGAAAAAAAGAAAAAAAAAAAGGAAATTGTCCTGTGCGTGTTTCAAAATTTATTTCAGCAAAAATAAAGACAGTTAATAATAATTACGATTTTTTTTAATTGGTAAAATAATTATTTTTGTACGGTACGTTAGCTATTTTGTAAGCGTATTAATATAATATAAAATTATTTGTATGACTGCAATGCATCAGATTCCCATTTAAGAGTAGTTATTTTAAAAAAGTAAAATCTCCCTAGTAAAATCTGAATTTCCAAGGAGTGTGTTTGTAATGGTATTGCATTTTTGGATTATATTTTACAGGCGCAGTATGGATGTTGTGGGTGTAATTTGTTATTTATTATTTATTGAATAAACTGGGGGGAAAAATAAAATTGTTCATGTGTTATAAATTTGGTCAAAAATCGAGGGAAAATAAGCAAAGCACATTGCCGTGCTTGATGAAATAGCGCAATGCAGAAGAAAACGAGGGGGGGGGGGTAAAGAGAGATTATTACGAGAGAAATGTTTTATGTAAGCATGGTTTACAACTTGTTGACAGATTTTCCATGCCTAGAAAAGAATTTCAATTGGGAAAGCCACAGTTGAGCAGTTGAAATGATAACGGGAGTGGGTGTAGAGGGGTATCTTACCTAAATATTGAGAAAAAGTTTATTTATATGAATGATTTGTCTCGGTAACCAGTTATATGAGTACGTATTAAAAAAGAAAAAGTAAGTCTAAGAATGTGTGCATAAGATTTATTCAAAAATATGCTTTTTTTTCATGGTATTATATTATGTTTCGAAAACCGGCGCCAAGGAAAACTTTTATGTATTGTCAATATATTAGAGTGATCTGCCCTTGAATCTGGTGCATGTAAGCGTTTTCATTTGAACGCCGTAGTGCTGTAAACATGTGTATACTTGATAAACGGCTCCAGTGCAAGGGCATACACTTGATAAGGTTAGCTGGTTTTTTGATATCTGTTTAATGCATACCTATTGTACATAAAAAGTGCTGGGAGCTTGACGAAATCTTCATGGATAAGAGTAGAGAGGTACATGTTGTTGGAAAGTCCCTTATATTTAGCAATTCGCCGCATCTCTTTTTGAATAAATATAATTAAAATAGTTATGATATTTAAGCTCCCAGCACTTTCTGGATACACAGAGGTCTACTCTACAGGATGACATTTTTTTTTTAAATAATTGGATAGGTTAAGCCCTTGCACTGGGCATGTTTATGAACCTCAGCTTTGGTCACCTATTTTTAGACGAATCACGTGACTGGGTGCCCCCGAGACAACAAAAAATATGCTTGTGCATTAAGAAACCCCCAACATTATAATATAAATATTTGGTTCCAGACTTGTTAAGATAACTACAAAATAAACGAAAATTTAATTAATATCACACAGTTTATACTTGTTAAATTCCACACTTTTTCATATATCCTTCCTTAACGTAGCTGAGTGATTTTTTTTCTCTCCAATTTTTGACATTGTAGTTTAAAGACGTTGAACTTCGTTCCTGGGCCTTTGAGCATATTTTTGTCTTGGCCTCTATTTGAAAAAACACCTGCATAATGTTTAAGGTCTTATATATTTGGATCCTACAATGCTAATTAAACTATATTCAATTAAAACCCCATGATTAAATTCCATACTGAAAGCATTAAGTGAGGAACTATATTTTGTGGCGAAAGTTTTTTTAGAAGAAAATGATCAATTTTTCTCTTTCGGAGTATTTACGGTTTTGTTAAGTGTGGATTCCTATTTTTACATGCAGCCTGTTATTTTGTGCAGTGAAATGTTTTATGCTGATCCTAAATTATATATTAAATCAACTGTCAAGAATTCTAACATCATATTTGACAAATATAGCATATAAATTGTGAAAGTCTTGGGGAAAAATATCCCAATTTAAGCTTAAAATTAACACTATTTTAGTAATATCTAAACATTAACATCACAGACCCCCACTTTTAATTTTCTTTTCTGAATATATTCGATAATTTTAACCAATGGCATTCTGCTTAAATTCAGAAAAATGGCATTACTTTCAAATGATTTTATTGGTTGTTAATTTTTTTGATGCCAGAAAAATGACATTTTTGAATGCAGAAAGGTCAACTAATTGACTATGCGAAGTAATTTGAAACTCTTTCGTTGTAACAAATTTTAATGTGTCTATTCAAGATGAAATAAGACTGTGTTTGTTCCCATAATTTATTTGGATAAAAAAAATATTAGAGGAAAAACTTTGAAAAAATTGATTTATGTGTTAGACGTAATTACAGCGCAAAAAGGTCATATTAAATGCTCCGTAGTGCCGAAAGAAGTGCATTGACCCCCATTTTTTTGTTTTGCTTTATAATTAAGCTATGAGTGTAGATTCTAAAAATATATTTCATAAAAAGTCTCAATACTTTTGATAACAGGATCCAACCTCCTTAAGCTGGTCTTGAATTTTGCCTATTTTTGACAGTAGTCGCTCCTGAATTTTGCCTATTTTTGACAGTAGTCGCTCCTGAATTTTGCCTATTTTTGATAATGTAGTATAAGTTGATCCTGAATTTTGCCGATTTTGACGATATAGTTTATTTTGGTCCTGGATTTGACTTATTTTGACAATGTAGTTTAAGTTGGTCCTGAATTTTGCCTATTTTTGACAATGTAATTTAAGTTGGTCCTGAATTTTTCATATTTTTGACACTGTAGTTGAGTTGAAAATGTGATCGGGGTCATAATGGCTCTCTTTATACAATCCTCACTAATTCTGACATAAATTTGGTATATTCAGATACCGTTATACGAGCGTGTTAGTATTTAACCAAATTTTCATATACGATATATACATGTATTAACAAATAATCTGTTGCCTTCGAAAATCCAGACATTCTCTTGGGTGAAACTTGCTGATCATAAATGATACTAACTTATTTTGCATGAAACCTGTTTCAAATTCTATTGATATCATATTTTTCTGTAAATGGGGCTATGCCCATCATGAGATTTATAATTTTGCATTTTGAAACACAATAACTTTTGTTGACTATAGGAAAAATAGAAAGTGTGCAAAAAAATTTTCTCTCAAAATGTACACAAAATTGTGGACCATAATACAAGTCATGTACTTTAGTTTTATCCAACCTTTTTTTCCCAATTGTTTCACTCCTGTAATATATTGTAAACACAATGCAGGTTAACTTTGTCAGCTACAATACTTTACAACATTCTGAAGAAACATTTCCAGCGGTTGAATTTTTTCTGAACTATTTGTAAATATTTATATCTACAGAAACGTCTGATAAACAACCACGCCTGTCGCTCCTGTTTTAACTCCTGATAAAATAAGAATGTTTTATTGTAAGGAACAGTGGAAAATAAACTATGTCCTGCGTTTTCCTTTTTTCAAATGTTTCTAAAAATATTGTTTCTATTTCGGAACAGCTGTATTTGAAATAAAATTTTATATATATTAATTTGCTATTAATTTCCATCCACAAAGAATACAGTGCTGCCATTATTCAACTGTGTTGGACCAATATCTGTTTTAAGGAGATATATATATATATATATATATATATATATATATATATATATATATATATATATATATATATATATATATTTATATATATATATATATATATATATATATATATATATATATATATATAAATTGCAAAGAATTTGATGTGAACAAAAGACATAATCGTGTCCCTTTCTACATGAAACCCTTTCCAATAAAACCAAAAATAAGACACTCTTACCAATTTATATGCACAAAGTACATGTATAATATACAGATTTTCAATGAGTATTAAGCATGCAAACCCGTAATATATTTGAGAAGGTTAAAATTTGCCTTCAAAATCCTATGCATATAAAAAATAAATATTGCACTCTACTTAAGGACAGATGATACAAACAAGAAAATGGATGCCTGGATTGGTAACTATATGTTTTTGAAGCTATTTTGGTTGTAAATAATGAGAATAATAAATTTCCAAAATATAAAGAAATTGTAAACTTTCTATGATGTTCAAAATTCTACCTTTCTGCACCCATCCTTATTAATCTATACAACTTTTTGTCACTTTAAATCCATTAGTGTGAAACTTTGAATGAAAAATTAAAATCTATGGGTTAGACTTACATAAACATGACTTAATTGATATTTTCAAGATTTTTGATAAAAAGTTTGTTTGAATCAACTGTCCTTAAGCAGTTCTATAGTCCATTAAATGCATAAAATAAATACAATATCTTTATTTTTAATATTAATAATTAATGTTTTGAGTATTAATATTTGGAATGTTTTGCTCAATGTTTAAGCCCCTTACAATCGTGTATCCTGGTCCACGTCATTAATGACGTATTCATTACAAATCTCGTTATCATTAATGACGTATTCATTACAAATCCCGTTATCATTAATGACGTATTCATTACAAATCTCGTCATCACAGTTTGCTTTAATACTGACATCCTCTTCGAACATTTCGTTGTTCTGAAACACGGTGTCAGTTTGATATTCGCCTCCAGGAACGGCATTGTAATATACCTTCTGAATTTCTTTTGACGTCAAGTGCCCGTTGTCCTGTGACGTCACTCTATGTTTGAGGAAGACACATAGTATGTTGCAGTCATTTTCTGTTCTTATGATCGCAGCACGCGAGTCAGTAGAAGTTTGGCGGTAAAGAGGGCTTTCAAAATTAACATAGTAAATCTAAAAACGAAACAGTATAATAATTCAACGCAAATTACATTAATATAATCATTAGTTTAAGCTCCGACACTTAACGTCATTTTATGGTGATAAATGCTTTTTACCGGATTAAATTTCTACTCAATTTTCTTGATCGCTATTGTTTCTTGCTAGGATCAATTCCTTGTATCTTTATTTAGTAAACTGTAGATGCTTCTAACTGATGTTTTTAAGTAAAATGAAAGTTTCAATCATTACACAGATCCAGGCACATAGTATCAAGAGGGGGGGGGGGGGGGGGCAAGGGAGGCCTGGCCCCAAACTTTTCTTCCAAACATAACCTTTTACTGTTGAAAATGTTCACTGAAAGATTGGACCCCCCCCCCCCCCCAATCTTTTTGTTGCAGTTAGTCAAATCAGAGAAATGTGTTAATGTAGTATGAATAAAATTTGGTTGTGAAAGAAGTTGGAACCCCCCTCCCCCAATGAAATAGAATTTTCGAGTTTGGACAATTTTCCTCTTTGTTTTTGCCTCAGGCTTCCAAAAACGATTCAAAAATGAAATGATACTACGTGTCTGAGATCTATACTTAGATTTTCATGATTGATATACATAGTGATTGTTGTTTTAAATTCTGAATGGCTAATACATGCACTTACTTCTTTTACTTTCCAGATAGCAAAAACTACAGCTGCGATGACAGCAAACCTGCCAAATGAAAAAAATTAAAAAGCTTATCTACATGTATTTGGTGAAATTCCAAATCAGAGAAACCGATTAAAGATAAATCAAAAATGAAACTTACACAATAACTATAACACCTATTATAATGAATATTAAGTGAGAGGATATCGGTTCCATTCTCGGTGGTTCTTGTGGAATAGGAGTAACAGCGGAAGTCAACACAGTGGTATTGATCACTTCTATAAATGATGACGTGATTGATTGTGTGAAGTTTGTCACGTGATCATTGGTCGTCTGCGTGGTCCTCATGTGGGTTGTGGAGAAGAGAGTTGTGGATGTGGTGTAATGCGGCGTTGTTGTGGTTGAAGATAGCGTAGTTGTGGTACTGTCCGTCCTTTGTCTACAAGACACGTTCAGGACTTCAAAAATACTTCCAAGGGGAAGACACACTGATTTATGTTTTTTCAGACATGCTTGTTTTTCGGAACATTTGATGTCATCTGTAAACCATTGCTTGTAGTATTGGTTATATTGAGAGAGGCAAATTTCAAGCAGTTTTGTCAACAATTCACAATTTTTGCTAAGATGTGAGCACAACAAGGAAAATTTCCCAGGAGGCGGACACGGAACACAGTTATACCATTCCTCCACAGTGAGAGGGTACCTCTGAAAATTAACAATTCCAACAGTATTTTTGTAGTGCTTTTTTTTTTAATGGAAAGCATTGTATAGATGTTCCACAAACATATAACCTTAATACATAATATTCACAGGCGCTTGACGTTTTTAACCTTTCTTTCAATAAATAAAAAAATCCCCGTACTATAATAATAACAAGGTTCGTCACGGTCGCCATCTTGAATTTTTCAGTTCAGCTACTTCGCCTCGATTTTTAGTCTACAATGTGTTTAAAATTAACGGATACAACTGTTTCCCTCAAGTACTTACTTTAACTATGCCTCCACTTTCGGGCAATTCAACTCAAATCACATTAAATCCTCTCTAATTCTTAAATTGTCGCTTCAAACTCAGTCTACTGCTACCGATTCCGTAAAACTTATTAGAAAAGGGAGGCCGGAAGTTGATGTTAGAACGTCACAGTCCGGGAAAGCCCTTTTCTGATTGGTGGATATCTTGAGAGTTATATTAATATTAAGAGCTGTTTAAAAATGGAGCTTGAGCAGTTCTAGACTACTGGTACGTATTTCATAAATAACTTAGTAATATATATTGATACATCTATAGTCCCTAATTGTTTGCAAATAAATATATATTTAGCCTAAAACTGTGTACTTTTTCAACTGCTATTTAAGAAACACTGAAATATTTAGGCTGAATAGTATACACTGTATTTTATATACAGAGGCGTAGTTACACACCTGAAAGTAAAGGGGGGCTTAAATCCAAATAAAAATTCAATTAACATAAAAGCGTTTACAATTTAATTCTGAAATTTAGGGGGGGGGGGGGGGTCTGGCAGATTTTGAAAATAAATTTAATTGTCCTTCATTGACATGGAAATAAAGCTGGGGAAAAATTGCCAGCCCAGTCCCCCCCCCTCCGGAATCAATTGGTCCTCCCTTAAAAATAAATGAATGGCAATATAATCTGTGAGGCCACCCGTAGGTCTTAGGCGAAGCCTTGATTGGGGCCGGGGGGGGGGGGAGCTCCTGGCTTGTACAAATATTTCAATCACATTCTTGCTGGGAATAGCATGGTATTTGGCTTTTCTTATGAAAGACAAGACAGTAATATTGTTTTTAACACGAAGTTTAACTTTCTCGGAAACTTATTGTAAATGTACTTGAGGCGTGCAGAATCTTTTACCGCTACATTTGTATCGTCTGCTCTCTGTTATAATATGTATCAATAATGTTCAGCAACAAGTATTTTAAATGTTAGTAGCAAAAATAATTTTAAAATCATATACTACAGTGGCGGATCCAGGAATCTTGAAAAGGGGGGGGGGGGGGGGGGCGGCGACCAGTATGGGGTCAGGGTAGGGGCTCACAGCGACACACAAAAAATTGCTTTATTAAATCTTATGTATATTTTGGACACAAAAGGAGGGGGCGGGTCCCCTACCCCCCCTCTAAATTCGCCAGTATACTATTTGATCAAGCAATTAGACGATAATTAAACTTAATTTCTCAAAGGTCTTATAGAATTATTAATGTGTTATAGAACACTTACTATAGATAAATGATTTATTTGGATTTGGCAATGATTCAATAAAAAGATTTCAAATAGACGTAATAATATAAAATTTGATTCGAAATAATGATAATTAATAATTTGAAACAAAAATATTTGCCGGATGGTGCTAATATTTTTTTCTTTCAACAATCTCTCTCCCTCTCTCTCTCTCTCTCTCTCTCTCTCTCTCTCTCTCTCTCTCTCTCTCTCTCTCTCTCAGACCTAGATTTTTTAAAAAAAACGATGTGTAGTAACGCACTTGCGTACTTGCAAAGACAGCTTAGCGCCTATAGAAAGAGAGGACATGGAGGTTCAGTGATCTGGGCCAGCTCACCACTGTGATGAAAAATAAAACATACGCATATCTATCCTTCTTTTTTTTTTTTTTTTTTTTATAATTTTCATCGCTTCCAAACACTGAAAATAGTAGCATTATAGGGAAGAAATATTTATGCCAGAATGCAAGGGGTCTGGTTTACACAAGAAATTACGTAGTAACCAGAATTCCAGGAACAAGCATAATTTTTATTTCCTCATGATTTTTTCTTCAACAAAATAAAAGAAAAAAATATTTCACATATTATTTCTGATGATTATGGAAAGCATCGGCCTGCTCAGTATCCAACATGTCGAAATAGTTTGTTACTGTCTTTGCATGATTTTTCCCGCGAAAGTCATATTTCTCTTAACCAATGAAATTTAAGTAGAGGGAATTCTCATTTACATAACAACATCAACTTCCGGCCTCCCTTTTCTAAGTTTTACGGAATCGGTAGCAGTAGACTGAGTTTGAAGCGACAATTTAAGAATTAGAGAGGATTTAATGTGATTTGAGTTGAATTGCCCGAAAGTGGAGGCATAGTTAAAGTAAGTACTTGAGGGAAACAGTTGTATCCGTAAATTTTAAACACATTGTAGACTAAAAATCGAGGCGAAGTAGCTGAACTGAAAAATTCAAGATGGCGACCGTGACGAACCTTGTTAATATTATAGTACGGGGAATTTTTTATTTATGGAAAGAAAGGTTAAAAACGTCAAGCGCCTGTGATAATATTATATATTGAATTGTACCATAGTTAGGTGTGATTTCTTTTGTTAAAACTGTGGGTCATCTGTACATGACTCACACTTTTCTATAAACTCTGCCCATCAAGCCAGGACAAAAAGAGCATTTCAAAAAACTAATCCACATTTTCTTTTAATCGAACAATCATCCGGACTAGATACACCATATATAAGAGCAAACAATATATTTAATCATAAAAAGCATAGGACGATATTTATAGGTTGAAAAACTGCATTTTAGACTTTGCCTTTCGTTAACAAATGAAAAACAAGTGCAGAAATCGCTTGATTATTTTTTTTCCATTTTTTTCTAAAAATATTCTTATGGCCAGTAAGCCATTACCTTAGTATTGGTATTGATATTGTTAGTATTTCTTAAATGATTCCAATATCATTCTATTTATAACCAGCCAAGAAAATTTGGTACATGTACATAAAATCAAAAATGTACTTAAGGGAGCCGACTGGGGTTTTATTGTGTGAAAACTACTATAGAGAAACTCTAATTTTATACCATATGTACCTTACATTTACTTCAGTATACATGCCAAGTTTAGTGAAAATCTACCGTATGCTTATTTTTAGGGACCATCTCAAAATACAGGTACATTTACTATAGGATTATATAGGAAAACACCCCTTTTCGCACTTCGGAACAAATTATTCAAATGCTACTATAGACTTTTTGCTCAAATTATATCATTTGATGAGTAATACTATATTGTACATTTTATGCAAGAAACACACAGTTCTACCGTCTGGTTTCCAGAGGGGGCATCTCAAAATGTCAAAATTCATGATATTTTCCTGTTTTTATGGAGGACTACAAAACATGACTAATGCCACAGATTTATATAAAAATAATAAAAAATGATTGAGAGATTCTCAATTTCCTATGTTCAAAATTTCAAGAGATCTATTTTATACTTTTTATTTTATGGCATAATTAATGACCCCTCTTAAAGAACTTCGGTTATTCATGACGTCAAAAACACACTACTCCGACGTCTATCTACCCATCATTTGAAAAATGGTTTAAAAAATCAGTTATTTAAAAACGTAATTAGATTTTTTAACCTGAGATTTTTCATATTTGTTAATTTTTATAAATTATGTAAAAATAGTTGCTTTAAAAGACTAAATACGCTTTCATTTATATTTCTATGCTGCGCGAAGTATTGCGCAATGAAAACCCCAGTCGGCCCCCTTAAATCATTGAATTTTATTGCATCTATTCTAAATATACAAATCCCTTTACTTTATTTAATGTTTTAAATCATTATAAAAAAGATGTCCATATGTACCACCATGCACAAGGAGCATAGGTACAAGTAAATTCAAAGAATTATGGCCCCCCGGACCTTTTGGTGATTTGGTGGATGGGATGCCATTATTTATGGCATATTGTAACTGTCTTGTTTGTGTGTCCTGTCTTTTCTGTGCATTGTACAAAAAAGACATAAATTATTAAATTAATAACAGTTATGGCAAAGATTATATCTTCTCAAAACTACATCCAACTTTAAGATCAAGGTCATGAGGTCAAATATCATAATACAATCCGAAAGGTCTTGTCACAAGTAATGCACAAGTGAAAAAAAATATCATAAATGAGAGTATATGATCGGAAAGGTCTTGAAACAGCTAATGGACATGTCAAATGTAAATGCCATATCTTCTCTCAATCAAAAGTTATCAGCAATGGTAAAATTTTTGAAAAATTAGGTCAGACTTCAAGGTCATTGGGTTAAAAATCATAGTACATTTGGAAATGCTTGTCACAGGTAATGCACGTGTCAAATATGAATGCCCTAATATCTTCGCTCCTTCAAAAGTTAGCAACACTGATAAAATGTTTGAAAATTAGATCTAACTTGAAGGTCAAGGTCATGCGGTCAAATATCAAGCACATTCGGAAAAATTTTGACACAGGTAATGCACTTGTCAAATAAGAAAGCCCTATCATATGTCATTCAAAACTAATCACCAAAATTAATTATTTTGAAAATTAGGTCAAACATAAAGGTCAAGGTTAAGGAGTCAAAAATCATAACATGCTCTGAAACATCTTCTCACAGGTAATGCACATGTCAAATATGAAAGCCCTATCTATTCTCAATCAAATTTTATGACTAATTTAAAGTAATGTTTTTTTTTTTGTTTGAGAGGTAGGTCAAACTTCAAGGGTGAGGTTAAGAGTAAAAAATCATAGTATATTTGGAAAGGTCTTGTCACAGGTAATGCACATTTCAAATATGAAAGCCCGATCTCTTCTCCATCAAAAGTTACATGTATAAGCAAAGATAATTTTTTTGAAAAAGTAGATCAAACTTCAAGGTCTTGGGGTCAAATACCATAGTATATTGAAAAGTTCTTGTCACATGTATAATATGAAAGCCCTATCTTTTCTCATTCAAAAGTTATGACCAATTTAAGTAAATAAATGTTAAAATTTTTTAAAAGTAGGTCAAACTTCTAGGTTAAGGTCACGGGGTCAAAAATCATAGTATATTTGGAAAGGTCTTGTCACAGGTAATGAACATGTCAAATGTGAAAGCCCTATCTTTTCTCATTCAAAAGTTAAGGCCAAGGTTAAAGTTTTTGTGACAGACTGACAGACGAATGAGATTTAATGTCCCCTTGCTTTCGCAAAAGCGGGGGACAAAAGGGTAACAGGAAAATAAAGAAATTAATTCAGTTAGAAAATAGTTAGAATTATTTGATTTTACTCAAATATCAAATCAAATCAACATTTTGTATTGAAAACAAGCACATTTTTCAGTAACATGTCAGTTAAAACTCGTACTATATGTGAAAGACTTAGAAATGATCAAATTACTAAATTATGGTACAAGTCACTTAACCCATACTCGTAATATTGTTGGTTATGTGCAGATACCCGATGGCCGTGGTATAATGACAAATCTGGAGCTACGCTCCCTCGTGTCATTATGACCACGCCCATCGGGTATCTGCACATAACCAACAATATTATATGGGGTAACTACTAATCATTTTTTATGTTATTCGATTTCTATTAACCATGTAAGTTATGAAGTTTAAAAAATTAAACGAATACGCAGGAAATTGCTATTGTTTATTTATAAAAGATTTATTTTTTGGGAGAACCGTGCTTAGATAAATATTTTTAATTATTTCAACAACAGATTACCGCAGTTCTTTTTAAGCCTATATACTGAAACGCAAAAGAAACGCAACATCCTAATTTTAGGGGGAAAATTATATACAGGTTATAACTTTGTACTTAAAAAGTTAGGAAATCTTCAGCTTTGCCAAATCAGTAATTTAACGGTTGAATGATTTTCATTCCATTACCGAAAGTTGATTTTGAGCCCTTTTTACAGAAATCAAAAATTGCATGTTTAATAAAACATTTGATAATAATTTGGGTTTTCAAGGGTTTGTAGCTGTTAATCATAAGTATTACACACTTATTTTCCGAAGAAAAAAATCCTTATTTCTTTTCCTGAGGTGATGCCAATATTTCCTTAAAATGACTGAAAGCACGCATTTTCATTGTTCTTGATGGAAATTCTCAAAATAAAGGTAAAGGTGTGTTGCAGATGTAAAAATGCACTACATAACGACTCATTATGCTCAGGCGTTTCATAAGCATGAACGACAGTTCTTTGACCGGAAGTCCAAGGGTTACTACACTACGCCAGGTTAGAGAAAATTCGATCTCAGTATCTGAAAAACAGGCACTTAAAAATGCCTAAGAATATTTATTTCGCTCCGATCAAGAGATTTATAAACCTAATGCATCGTAGAAATCGAGCTGCAATTGTTGTACATGGCGGACTAGCACGCTGAAATTGAATGGTCGGAAGGGGGGTGTTTTAAGAGTTATGTGTTACTTTCTAAGGTTTAAAGATAACATTTGATGTTTAAATCAGTATCTGATGTTTGTAAATAAAATTTTTACCTTACTGTATTCATTTTTGAATGTTATCTATATATAAATATATGTCAGTACTAACACTGTTGTAAACTATATGAATTATTTCACCTCTGCGGAAACATTTCCGCCGTGTTCTTTGAGTGTGTGGGATTATACTTATAAAATGTTCTCAAGGCTTTCATAATGTCGTAATTAAATGATGAAGACTTATTATAATTATAAGCATTTTCGTACAGGGTGTGGAATACCACTGTAACAAGTACTTACAGGCGATTTATATCTTTTTATTTTAAGTTAATCGTTTGGAAGGAAGGACACATTTATTCCTTTGTACAATACGTGTATGTCGTAAATTAGTCACAGTTTAAAATTTTTCTTACTTTCTCTCCTCTTCCCTTCAATCTAAATGCTTTGAAATCTGTGAAACATTACTAGTGGTACAGATGTCTAAACTTCATTGAAATGTTCTTTGATAATCTTACTGAATTTAAACATTGAAAAACTTATGGTACTGTACGTCAGACAGGGCGTGTCGTTAAAACGCAATAAAATAAATGAAAATTAACAAAGAAACTGATATGACAGATAAAATCCAGGGGGTGTGGCGTACAATTATCCTTGGTGTTGTTATTCGGTATAGTGAGCGAGATTGGGGGTCATTTTGCCATGCGTCATGTTAAGTGTTTCATCATGAGAAAGTGAAATGAACATATAAAAAGTTTGCAATGTAATTCATTTAAAACATATAACTGGTCACAGGTCAAGCCTTAGAGAAACTTTTAATCTTCTCATATACGAAAATAAAATAAATATTAACAATAGTATACATTCGTAATCTTCAAATCGTTAGACCTTTAATACTTTACAAAATACATTTTTTGTGTTATAAGGTCAATTTAGGCACCTAAGGGTATTAATTCCACTTAGCTCATTATAATTAATTAAATTGAAAGATGAAGTTTTGAAAAGGATGAATACCTTTACTTAAGACAATTAATTTAGACTTTCATGCATATATCTGGCGAATTTTTTGTGTTTACCTTCATTGAACACATGGCTAGAACTCCGCAAGCCGAACACAGCAAGGTGAGCACTGGAAAAAAATGTCCACTCATAACCACGTCAGTTCCTAGGATATCTCATGACGTCACTTCCTCTTTAATAAACGATAAAAATTATTTAAATAAAACTGACTATAGTGAAATTTCCTTGGTTCATAATAACAATGTCTCTTTCTTGTATTAATTTTCTGGCAAGTCTTAAGATGCAATGAGTTTAGACTGTCCCATATTTCACTCTAATAATGTTCTTTTGTTCCTTTTTATCGGTGCCTACTGCTTCTAAACTTATCAATGACGCTCTGCTGCGGATTCGCAATCATTTTATATCAAACACTTCACATCAAACATGCTTTTTGTTATCAATGAAAAGAAAAGCAACACCTCCTTTAGTTACTGCATCAATGCATCCCTGAATGACCCTGATGCCCTCGTCCCACACATTGTTTGATTTCAGAGTTTCCTTAATATAGAAGCTAAGCTACAGTGTACATATATTTATGCAGATGCTGAAGTACCAGGCAACTTTTGTACCTTTAAGGAGGGTCCACTCACTTATAACGGATGTGAAAAAAAATATTTAAGGGCGATGTTTCTTTAAGGACCTCTGACAAAAAGAAGAAAGGCGGAAGTGTTTTTAAGATTTTTTTCTTTGCGAACAGCAAATAATACTTCGAATCTGTTTCTTAATTAAGACTGACTCTCTATAATTAAGTATTTTGAGAAATATATATATATATAAATATATATATAAGACTTGTATCGAGTTTTTGTATTAATTCGAATGTCAAGTATAAGATATAATACATAATGAATTCATGAAAATGAAAACATAGAATAAAGGTGTTTAGCTGACGGAATTATTGTGTATATTTATATCACGTGATAACGTACTATTACATTAAGAGCATAATAAAGTTTGTTGCTGTTGAGAGTACTTGTACACGTATATATGTGCATGTCTGTACTTCTATCTTATCAGTTAATTATTCAAAAGTATTGTTATGAGAGGGTTACTATAACTATTTTCTCGAGATTTTTTTTAATAAACAGGCAAAAAAAAATGGGAAGAGGTGTTGGGGGCTGGACCATTGTTTGCAGAGGGTGTATCCCTCAAGCCACGACAACATGAACAGTTTAGAACACTATCCGACTTAGGCCACTGTTAAGACAGTTTCGACCCTTCGTGGAACCTTGAGTGAAAAGATGAAGCACAGCGCTTACAAGTAGTGGAATTTTATTTTACAAATCTCATACATGTTTTTAGCCCAAAATATGTTTATTAATTAGCAGTTTTCGTTTGGGAACTGTATCCTATCGCTTTGGCATGTAAACATGCTACTAAATTTCACCCATTGACCTATTTAATTCGACCTATATATATTAACCTCATTATAATGAGTCTGATCGTACAGAAAATTGTTATCTTAGTTTACTGCAACTTCACAACCTATGTTTCTGTAGCCTCATACATGCACATGTTAAGATGCTAGGAACTAAAATCAAAAGTTGATATATAAAGCAGCAATTCTTTATTTTTTACAGTTTTGCAGATCAGTTGAATATTCACGAAATTAACTTACCATTTAGCTTCTACCTACCACTTCTCTAAAGATACATACACTGTATAACGACTACGCGACAGACACTGATGCTCACGGCGTACTTGTACATTGTATGTCCTTGCAAAAGGAGCGTATTTTTTTTTTTAATTGTCAACAATTAAGTCCTTATCCTAATTTCATAATGATCCTTCAAAGTTTCATGTTGAAACAGTGGAGGCATGTTAACTATATATATGATGCTGCACACAACACTGAGCGATATAGAAGATTAATACACGTGCATTTAAGCCACTGAAATACACTGAAAATGCATAGAAAATACGCTGTGAAAAAATTAAACGTTCTCACAAGACAAACGCTCTGCAGAGTTCGATTTCTTTCTGGCATCTATCTACATCTACGGTTTCTCAAAACAGTTCAGTGTAAAAATCGTTATTACGTAACGGTGGCATGTTAAGAACTTGGGAATGAGTCACAAATAAATCGAAGTCAAACGCTTAATTAATACGGAACATGTGGGACACTTTATAGCGAATATCAATTAATATATTCAACATGTTCAAGGAGGTTTGACATTCAAACTGTAAAAAGAAATCATATGAATGAGAAAAAAGGAGATTTTTTAAATATCAATTATCAATTCGGTTAAATAGACTGTTAATTACCACTCCGCTCACTTCCGCATACTTTACGTTGTACTCGGTGATCTATTCAGTGGAACTCGATCGACCCTAATATACATGCATACAACGAAGGCGTTAAGAACTTTCAAGTCAGACAAGTGCATACACTGTAAACCAAAAACGATGTCTTCAATTGGATCAATAAAAATACGCCCTTTGTAGGTCTGTTAAGCTTGAGTTATGGGTTAATGGAGCTGCATGTTCTCATTAAAAAAAATATTGGTAAACATTCAGACCCGGTTTCAAAAGGGGGGGGGGGCAACTTCTCCCCCCCCCAAAAAATCTGACAAGCAAAAAAAAAACAAAACAAAAAACAAGCTGTGTTTGTGAAACATTGATGCCCCGATATGGAAACTTATAGCGAACTTTCTCAAATGCAAATCAAATATGTTGGTACCCAAAGTAAGGTCCTGTCTCGAGGAATATAACTGTGAAATAGAACGCTCTAGCAGCAACCATTAAAAAGGTTTGGAAAAGGTTGAAGTTTTTCAAAAGTAGGTCAAACATCAAGGTCAAATGGTCAAAATTAATGGTGCCCAAGGAAATCCCTTCTCACAAAAAATACACATGTGAAATATGAAAGGCCAAGCACCAACCGTTCAAAAGTTATGGCCAAGGTTAAAATTTTTCGAAAGTAGGTCAAACTCCAAGGTCAAAGGGTCAAAAGTTGGTTTTCAAAGGAAGTCTTGTCACAGGGATTACATATTTGAAGTATGAATGCCTTAGCAAAAACTGTTCAAAAGTAATGGCCAAGTAAAATAGTAGTGGCCAAGTAAAAAAGTAGGTCAAACTCCAAGGTCAATGGGCTATGATTGTTGGTATCTAAAGGAAGGACTTGTGATAAGAAATACACAGGTGAAGTGTGAAAGCCCTAGAACCAACTGTTTAAAAGTTATGGCCAAGGTTAATTAATATTCCAAAAGTAGGTCAAACTCCAAGGTCAATGTCAAAGGGTCAACGTTGCTGGTATCCAAAGAAAGGTTTTGTCACAAGAATTACATATCTGAAAGCTCAAGCTCCAACCGTTCAAAAGTTATGGCCAAGGTTAATTTTTTTTAAAAGTAGGTCAAACTCCTAGGTCAAGGTCGAAGGGTCAAAGTTGATGATATCCAAAGAAGGTCTTGTCACAAGCATTACACATGAATTATGAAAGCCCTAGCACAATCTGTTCAAAAGTTATGGCCAAGGTTAAAGTTGGGTAAAATTTTGCAAAACTAGGTTAAACTCCAAGGTCAAGGTTAAAAGGTAAGATATTATGGTACACAAAGAAAGGTCTTGTCACAAGAAATACACAAGTGAAATATGAAAGCCATAGCTCTTACCAGGTGAGCTAAATATGCCAGGAAACTCTCCAGAATTTATTTTGTTTTGTGTGTGCGCGTTTGTTTGTTTGTTTGTTTTTGTGGGGGGGGGGGGGGGGTGTTAACAGATCAATTTTCAACTTTCTTACCCACAATTGGTAGTCTTTTTTCAATAAAAATTGAAATAAAGCTATTTGAGATTCAATTTGTTTAAACGAAAGTTTTATCCTCTTTGGTAGATAAAATAAAATGGTCAGAGGGTTTTGGTCACTTCAAATAATATAAGTGAAGGTAGAACTCCCGGTTTTTATGAATATTTTAAAAACAGAATTAACAAATATGAGAAAAAAGCTCGACTCATATTTTTCTTGTATACGTTGAAGGTATTTACAGAGAAAAGATGTTGAAATTATTGTAAAAGTTATACAGTTAGCAAATGAATGGTGAAGCGTTTTCTACTTCGTAGTGCAGGAACGTCATGTATAACGAAGACGCTCAAATACCATTAAAGAAGTATTCTGTATTTTCTGTGAGGATTTTGAAGTTAATTAAAAAATAAGGAATTCCAAAGTTTAAAAAAATATCTTAATACGTATATACGATGATTCATTTGGGCAACGTTTCGCCCTTCTTTTCTTGAAGCAAAACCTTTGGTGTGGTTTCCCTCTTGAATTTCGGCACTTCGCCTTCTCTTTTCAAGTTTCACAGAAGAGTAGGGTGATTCAAGTGAGAAATTATTCATGCCGTACATTCCCTTTTATGATATCCATATTAATTTTGGGCGTGGTTTCTCATTCGAATTTCGGCGTTATGCCTTCCATGGACTTGATTTTACAAGATTTCTAATTTATGGTCCTTCTTTTACAACTCATGAAATATGATCAACTTATCTATAATTTTCGTATTATTACAGGTATCAATTGAACATTTCTATCATTCATAAACATTACACACACCAGTACAGGGGGTAACTGAAGAGCATCTTAATTAAGGTTCATAAACCCTCTGCTCACACATACAATGTTGCTCAAAATGATTTTCCAAAAGAAATGTAATTTATAAGTAAAATACAAATAATTATATCATAGCCTGCGGGGCAAAATTGGACAAAAAAGACACTTCAACTTTGCAAATCTATAAAGGAATAATAGACATTTATGTCATTAAGAGTTATCTCTCTTATCAGAGTATCAGTGAACATTAAGGAAGGATAATGTGTATGTGTGGGAGGATGTCATAGGTCTACATGTTGCTATGCATTCTCAGACTTAATGGAAATTAATCTTCGCAGTTCAACCTCTTCTCAAAAGACTTTCCTGGTAGATTTAACATGCATCAGAAAGAAGGGGGTGTACTCTTAGCGTGCTAAGAAAACACCAAAAAAAATTAAACAGCTTTCCGTTTGTTGATGAAGGCAATAAGGACACCGTTCGCTCAGTGGAAAATGTGTGAGGAACCTTTTAACACCCCTGGTTTAAAAGTTTAAGTGTGAACTTTTTTCCTTGTTTTCAAAGTCTGGCAATATCAAAGTTTAAAGTTACACCAGATCAATAATTTTTAATCAAATTTCCAGTGGACACTGCATGCACTGTTTTATTTAAAAGCATGATTCTAATCTTCCACTGCCCAGACTTGCAAAAGACTTTTTTTCTAAATATCCAGGGGTTCTGCTAGTGACAAATATTTCCAGCAAAATTAATTTGATAAGTAACACAATATGTAAATGTATCTTACCGAGATTTTATTTAGTACAAAAATTTTACATCAATTATAGATAACATTTAAAGTGTTCTATATACTAATAGTCACTACTAATTATAAATAACATTATCTTTACTTGTAATTAATGATAAATTACACCCCATGACCCATAATGCTTTCTGACAACTATTATGTTTTTTATTGCTTTTATGACAGTTCATATGTAATGGTTTAACATTAATAATTATAAGTATACATTATATACAATAATTACACTATATAAGTACAATATTATATACAGTATTCAATCAGTTACAGCAATATTACTGTTTAGCACCAACTTTCAATACATTCTCCATAACAATAAAAAGGAAACTGTACATAAAACACAGGAACTCACATTTTAAACACCTCTGAAGTACAGCTGAAAAAGATCTTTAAATATCAGGAAGACTTTAACAATGCATGCATCTATCTAACTCATGCTGAGTGTTTTGTCAACATCCTTAAAACTTTAATCAAGCTCTTTGAAGTGTTTAAAACATGGTTTCTCCCATTTTCTTACATGTATAATCACGGCCTTAAATTCAATCGTATTTAAACCACAACCACACAGTCCTAGCTATTTCGACTGGTTTTCTCTTATTTTGGTCCATCTTACAGATCCTATATTCATTTTTTAAAGAAATGCTTTATTGTATAATACTTTTATAATTTTTTTTAAACTCAAAATGTCAAACTCTTTTCAAGTCATACATAAATGTACAATGCATGCAACACAGCTAGTTAAAGAAGACTGAAGAAAAATTAGAGTTTTTATCAAATAAACTTTCAAAGCCAAGTTTTCAGGATGTACAAGTCACAGGATGGAAAAAAATATACATCTCAAGATTTTTGATGTATATCGAAGTACTTGTGTATAACTTTAAGGGGATTTAGTCTGCTTCATTAATATAATGAACATTATGAAAACTGTGCTTATTAAAACAATAACCAATAGGGTACAACCTATCCTTACAATTTGGTTAATATGTCAGTGTGTATATATAATCCTCCACCTGAAAGGTCTTGTTCATACAGTCAAACTCCTTTTATATCTCAAAAAAGGTAGGACTGTCATAAAATATACTGAGATATGTGAGAATTTGAGATGCTAAAGTTGAGATTTGTATTATCATGACAGGACTCACTGACAAAAAAGACCTTGAGATATCTCAGGGTCTGAGATGAATTTAAGATATATATTGTGACAGGACTTACTGACATAAAACCCTTGAGATATTTCAGATTTGAGATAAATTTAAGATTTGTATTATGATGGGATTCACTGTCAAAAAACCACGAGATATCTCTGGAATAAGAAATACTTAAGCATTATATAGAGGCAGGACTGTGATAAAAAAAAAAAACTTGAGATATCTCTCAGAGTTAGAGATAAAGTTGAGATTTATATTGTGACAGGATTCACTGACAAAAAAAACTTATGAGATATCTCAGGAGTTAGATATGTCTCAGAGTTTGGATACCAAAGTTTAGATTTGTATACATAATACATAATAACTCAAATTGACATACCAATGTATCTCAGAAATACATATTCCAGATACTGAAATTTTTACTGTATTAAATACATGCAAATGTACACACAGTGCAATGTGCATCACCAATGTGCATCACAGTTACATATATATATGTATGAAACATAGAATAATTAAATACTTCCACACATAAAGAGTATTTATAGACATGTACTTGTTTAATCACAGACACAACACGTACTCATCTGGCAAGAGAGCCCATGATTCATTAAATAAAATGCCACTGTTTTTTTCTGTATTGACTTCATCTCCTATCTTTAGATCTTTTTTCCTGACTTCTCTCCTCTGATATCTCCCAACTTCACTTTGCCCTTGCATCATATACCATTTTAAATGCCTGCAATAAAAACAATGACAATGAATGAACTTTAATAAAATGATCAAATTTAATGTCAGGAAACTAAAAAAACAGGAAGAGATAAACAGTGTGTGGTACTACCAGGAAGGAATATACAGTGTGCTATTCACATGTAAACATTTACACTGTTAGCTTCCTGTTTAGTTGGAAAAAGGATTTGCAGATCATAATATCATCAGTAAATAGCTTTTTCTAAATGAGATAAAATACACTTTTTTATTTTTAATTGACTGATTGAGTGATTGTAGTTTTACTTCCATTGCAAGTTACTCAAAATAGGTATATATGCTACTTAAATATAGAGATCACATCTGGTAAATTTTACCTTTTAGATAATAAAAAAATGAAACTTACACAATTGTAGAAACAAATTAAAGTTAAATGAAATTAAAAAGACACTAGATAAGAACACATTTGTAATTGTTATCTGAAGATTCTTTAGTTATAAATTTTTGAGTTCTTGTCAAATTCTTTTAATCACAAACTTAATGGATTTTCTGATTTTGGATGGACAGAGCATTTTTTAAAAATTTTAAGCTGTTTTTTTTTCTCTGTTCATAACTCAAAATTTTTCAAGGATATACACTGTAAATCATTTCTTCAATTGCTTTAAGAATTGAGAACATCATCTGAAATCTCAACAAAATTCCTTAAACAATAAAATGTTAAGACCTGCAATGTGGCAGGTCCCTTTTTATAGACAAGGAACTTCATTTAATTTCACATGTCCTTTTTAAAAACCTAGTTACAAGGGACTTCCTTTAACATCTAAGCTGGGTAAGATAGGTACATGTACCATATTTTGAGCCAGGTTGTGTGCATTAACAACAAATTTAAATTGCAGAGAAATGTAAACACATTTTGATATCTGAGAACATGGACGGTTTAAAATGTTTCCTTTCTATAAACTTTAAACAGATAATATTACAGAAATAAGACTCTGAAAATGAAAAACATTTTTTATTAATGTATTAAAAACTTGATCTAAATTGTATAATTTTATCTAAATAGTACAAATATTTTATTGCATACCTCTATAATCTATGTGGTAAATTTATCCCTCTATATTACCTTGGTGTCACCTATATTAAGTGTATATATATCGTATGTATCAGGAAAATGCTGTTTTTGTTTTTGTTTTTTGGGGTTTTCCTTGGGGGGGGGGGGGGGGGGTAAAACTCTGCAGATATTAATGAAAATGTTAATGTTTAACTCTGTGTTGCCTTACATTTATTTAATTTCTTTATATAAGAAAACTGGACACTTTAATTTCTCTCTCTCTCTCTCTCTCTCTCTATATATATATATACAACAGTGACCATAGAATCTTACTTTCTGCATGGCAGCAATCCAGATCTGTCCTGGCTTTTTGTTTCCCCCACTATCCACCATCATCTTAATAATGTTTGTTCCTCCAGTTGTGTCTGTGTATTTTATTGCAATGCCCCCTGCTAACGTGTTGCCTTCAAACCATATGTAATTTTTTTTTTATTTTCTACTAAATTCAATGAACATAAATTTAATACATAATGATGCCCAAGTGAGGTATCCAGGGATTTTACCCATAATCTTGATCTCTTTAGCTTTATTAAACTTTGACCTTGTGAACTAATAATGTGTCATCATGTTATAGCCAGTATTTTGTAGAAAATATGAGTTTCTAAATATTTAAGTGTACTATTTAATTAATAAACAAGAGGCCCAGGGGCCACATCACTCACCTGAGCACTGTGGCCAGGAAAAAAGGAAAAATCAGTTTAGTATTGAAAAGCTTAAATGCATAAATGGTCCCAACCTACCCCTAAAAGGGAGTGGGGGGGGGGGGGGTATGACTTGAACAAAATTAAATCTACACTGCTTACATAATTTCTTGACTAACTGTGACTTTTTCTCTACAAGTTTGAACTTTCACTGTGGCCCCACCCTACCTCTGGAGGTCATGATTTGAACAAATTTGAATCTACACTATCTGAGGATGCTTCCATATAAATATTACAAACCGTGGCTTTGCTGTTCTTGAGATTTTTAAAGGTTTTTCTTATATATTCCTATATAAAACTTTGAACGTTCATTGTGGCCCCACCCTACCCCCGGGGGTCATGATTTGAACAAACTTGAATCTACACTACCTGAAGATGCTTTCAAAAAAATATATCCAATCAAAGCTTTGCTGTTCTTGAGAAGATTTTTGAAGGTTTTTCCTATATATTCCTATGTAAAACTTTGATCATCCATTGTGGCCCCACCCTACCCCCCGGGGTCATGATTTGAACAAATCTGAATCTACACTACCTGACAATAATTCCATATGAGTTTCATCTTTCCTGGCCCATTGGTTCTTGAGAAGAAGATTTTTCAATAATGCCATTAATTTTTTGCTATTTCGTAATTATCTCCCCTTTGAGGAGGGAGTGGCCCTTCATTTGAACAAACTTGAATCCCCTTTACCCAAGGATACTTTATGTCAAATTTGATTGAAATTGGCCAAGTGGTTCTGGAGAAGAAGATGAAAATGTGAAAAGTTTATGACGACGACGCCAACGACGACGACGACAGACAACGGACAAATTTTGATCAGAAAAGCTCACTTGAGCCTTTGGCTCAGGTGAGCTAAAAATCCCATCAAACTCCAAAAGGATTCAATTCATCTATACTAGATACCCAGTTCCACCTACATGTAAACACTCACAGGTTTGGAGTTTGTAGAATGATAGGTATTCAACTTTAAAAGAGTTCATATATTAACATTTCAATAATCTTTCTGTTTGTGGAGAGGTCTGACCTGGTAGCCCACAAAAGTCTTTTGACATCTTTTATGTGTGCAGTGTTCATTCATCCTATCCATTCAACCTATCCATCCTATCCATAAGTCTCCATGTTTCAATTCATTTTCTTCATACATAGCAAATGTATACAATATATTTTAGGTAGGTATGGATGAAATGTTCTCACAGATTTATACATATATGGAGTTGTATTCAGTAATCCTCTATGGAATTCAACACGATAACAAAATGCAAAATGAGAGAAAATTAAAGTTCAAGGTCACAGGGTCAGTCAAGGTCAGAAAATTCTGACAAAATTGAGTAACTCTCACCAATTTGTATAAGAATATGTTATGATAAAAATATCTAGAATAGTTTCTTTGAAGCTGAGCTAAACTTAAACTGATGAATAATGAAGTCAAAACCATTGAGGTTAAGGTCAAAAAATTCTGACACACTTGAATAGCTCTTAGCAATGTGTATCAGCTAGTTTATGAATTTTGATAAAAATATCTTAAGAGTGTCTTTGAAACTGGACTAACTGCAAAGTGACAGACAAAGAGATGGATGACATCAGACATGACAAACACTGTACACCCCGACCATATTCGTGACAAGGCATAAGAAAATACACACAACACTAACCAAGTAATGATCTCCAGCATATCACAACAATACACAACAAAAATGAGTTTTTACAAGTTTACCTGTATAAATTTCATCTCCTGGGAGCATTATGGGGCAGAAAAAGACATGTATAATGGAATTTTTTATGGGCCAAAACATTGATAAATTAATTTCATTTCTATTGCCAATTTTTTCAAATGCACGATTCTAGCGACCATTTGATGACATTTTACTTTGTTGTTAATAAAAACAAGCTTTTCACCTTCTTCATCCTTTCCAGATGGTAGAATCTGCAAGGTGTCTATTTTCTCAATCTGAACAGGTTCGCGTTTATCATTATCTCCCTCAAACAGCAGCTGTCTATAAATAGATTTTAAAACATTTTGGGTCAGTAAGAAGACATTAATCATTTTGTTGTCTTGTGCCATCTATAGAAGCATTCAGTATTTAAATATCTTAAAAATACAGTCAAATTAGTTCTTCATGTTTCTTTTCATTTTCAGTTTCTTGCTTTGATTAATTTCTTTAATATTCTTCAATATTAATCTTTCTTTAGCTTATCAATGAAATGTTAAAAAATGATCTAAATTATATAAGAATGTCTTTTTATAACACAAGATTAAATGGAATTAACATATATAACATATATAATCTAACCCAGCTCAATACTGCACACACTATATGCTACAGCAACAATGTTCTACAAAATATTCATAACTCAAAGGCATATTACACTAAATGGATGAGAACCAACACTTGATTTATAAGTCACCATTATAAAATCACATACATAAATTTAAATTTATAATCTCAAGGTTTCATTGACTTAATTTTGATGTAAGAGATATTTCTGCACACTTAGGAGGTATACCTATTTGTACATCAAAAGGATTGGGAGTCACTATGACTATTGCAATATTAATTTTTCTTGCTACACACTGCCATGGGCAGATAAAAGGTACCAGATCTTTAAGGATATTTGGTGTAGTGAATGGCAATGATAAATAAAGTCGTAAAACTGCTTTATTCATGGCAGAAAGAAGAACAGACTAGCAATTTATTATTATAGGGTTAAAGTAACATTCCAACCATTTTTTGAGAGGGGACACAATTAAAAGTGTTTTTTACCTGTGATTGGCTGAAAGTTTGAGGAAGAAGAGAGATCCCTCATCTGGCCCCATATCTGACTCAGTCACATTGAAATAACCTCCTACAAAAACAGCATGCTCAGTACATGATCAACATTGTGAAACATTTTTACACCATATATACAGTGCAGTCAAAACTTGTTAACTTGAACTCAATGGGGCTGAAAAAAAAAACTTTGATACATCCGAGGATTCAACATAGACATTAAAATACATACAAGCAGTGGAACTACCTTTGACACATATAAATGGTATTTGAGAATCAATGTTTGGGATACCGAAGATTAACTGTAATTATATCAGAGAAATGTACCATTCAGCAGTGTTTTTAAATGCTTCTCGAAGAAGTCCTCCTCCTTCCTTGAAATCTCTGTGCAGACTTGGCAGTGGCGGACTGGGTCCAGGAATAGCATCCTGGGTAAATTCACCTTCTCTTGACAACAGTCATTACAGAAGCACTTTCCACAGCGACGGCAGTGATGCTGATTCAAGAATATGGAGAATCTCGGTTAACATGGTAACTTTATTTAGATTGTCTTGTAGTTTTTTTTTTTTTTAAAGAGTCAATATATTTATAACATTTTGAATCTTTTTATATTTGAATACATATCCTTCTGTTGCTCTTATAGTCTTTACCTTTCTTCTTTTAAAGAAATCAAATTTTGCTCTGCAGTTTTGACACTGTTTGCACTGAAAAAAAAAACACAAAAAACATTCCATTTAATAAACCGTGTCACAAAGGTTTGATCTGATAAAATACAATGCTACCCATTTTGGTAGGGAAAAAAATCTCCCGTTTTTATGATGGGCGTACATTTATATGCATAAATACGATGAAGTTTACGGTACTGTTTACTTTTGTCATTACTGGCACATTTAACTTACCTCATCGTCTGATACCCAGGGAGGTTCTGGAAGGGAAAAGGGGCTCGAGTCAGTGTCAGACACGGGGATCATTCGAAGTCCACTCTTAGATCTCTCGAGTTTCTTTTCAGATCCAGCCATCTTTGACAAACACCTTTCGGAACTCTCTTCTCAAAAAGAATCGGCTAATTGAAGCAAAGAACCTATAAGCATGCACCGGGCGACGAATACTATGTATTGGTTATCTGGTTATTATGTTCCCCAAACGAAGTTTGGGAACATATTGTTTTTACTCTGTTTCTTCTTCTTCTTATTATTATTATCATTATGTTCCCCAAACGAAGTTTGGGAACATATTGTTTTTACTCTGTTTCTTATTATTAGGGTCTTCCGTCTTCAGCGGAAGACCCTTCTATTATTCTTAGGTTTCTTTTTTACCTTTATTATTATTATTAGGGTCTTCCGTCTTCTGCGGAAGACCCTTCTATTATTCTATTGTTGATTTTTCACTTTTCTTATTATTATTATTATTATTATTCTTTTTTTTTTCCTTACCGATTTTGTGCAGAAGATTTCTCGGAGATCGCTCGATCGATTTGCTTCAAATTTTCAGGGTTAATGCGTTGCTATCTGAAGTTTATAACGCCGCTTCCGTTTTTGAGAAATCACTTCCGGTCGGAAGTTATCGCCCTTTGATCGATTTTTTGATAGACCTTGTGTCTGCACAAAAACTCAAGAACGACAAAAGCTAGAGTGCTGAAATTTTCAGTGGTGATAGAGGAGATGTTCTAGTTGTGCACCTTGGTTTTCAAATTTTCCGGAAGTGCGAAGTATGGAAGCTCGGTAGGGGTCAAAATTTAGGACGTGATTTATGAGTGAATTTTAGAGACATTTCTGATAATAACATTTTAAATAGAAGTATTTTGTTAAAACATATTGAACAAAAAGTCTTTAAAATCACAAGACCTTTTATTTGATATCAAGAAAAAGGGGCTGACCCCTCAAATTAGGGGCTCAGAAGGGCCAAAAGTCTTTCATCTATAACTTTTTAATGATCAATATTTTGTTATCAATTACTGAAGCAAAAATGTTCATCTTAACACTCTGCAACTATATATTATAAAATTTTGATCATATGTTACGTAATAAGGGGCCATAAGGGGCCAGAATGCTAAATCTTTGACACATTATATCTCGAAAAGGGGAAATATTTTGAAAAGCAATATTGAACAAAAGATGTTCAGAATAATGTTCTAAACAATATACACCCTTTTAATTTTTGCAAGACATTCCCATTAAGGAGTTGGAGGGCTGGCCCCTAAATATTGTTATTCTATATATCTCTTAAACGAAAGGAAATTTCTGAATAGTTGTTGAACAAAAAGTCTTCAAAATCACAAGACCTTTCATTTGATATCAAGAAAAAGGGGCTGACCCCTCAAATTAGGGGCTCAGAAGGGCCATAAATCTTTCATGTATAACTCTTTAATGATGAATATTTTGTTATAAATTACTGAAGCAAAAATGTTCATCTTAACTCTCTGCAACTATATATTATAAAATTTTGATCATATGTTACGTAAGAAGGGGCCATTAGGGGCCAGTATGCTAAATCTTTGACACATTATATCTCGAAAAGGGGAAATATTTTGATAAGCAATATTGAACAAAAGATGTTCAGAATAATGTTCTAAACAATATACACCCTTTTAATTTTTGCAAGACATCCCCATTAAGGACTTGGAGGGCTGGCCCCTAAATATTGTTATTCTATATATCTCTTAAACGAAAGGAAATTTCTGAATAGTTGTTGAACAAAAAGTCTTCAAAATCACAAGACCTTTCATTTGATATCAAGAAAAAGGGGCTGACCCCTCAAATTAGGGGCTCAGAAGGGCCAAAAGTCTTTCATCTATAACTCTTTAATGATGAATATTTTGTTATAAATTACTGAAGCAAAAATGTTCATCTTAACATTTTGCAACTATATATTATAAAATTTTGATCATATGTTACGTAATAAGGGGCCATAAGGGGCCAGAATTCTAAATCTTTGACACTTTATATCTCGAAAAGGGGAAATATTTTGATAAGTAATGTTGAACAAAAGATGTTCAGAATAATGTTCTAAACAATATACACCATTTTAATTTTTGCAAGACATCCCCATTAAGGACTTGGAGGGCTGGCCCCTAAATATTGTTATTCTATATATCTCTTAAACGAAAGGAAATTTCTGAATAGTTGTTGAACAAAAAGTCTTCAAAATCACAAGACCTTTCATTAGATATCAAGAAAAAGGGGCTGACCCCTCAAATTAGGGGCTCAGAAGGGCCAAAAATCTTTCATCTATAACTCTTTAATGATCAATATTTTGTCATAAATTACTGAAGCAAAAATGTTCATCTTAACATTCCGCACAGTATATATTATAAAATTTTGATTACATGTCAGGTAATAAGGGGCCATAAGGGGCCAGAATGCTAAATCGTTGACACTATATATCTCGAAAAGGGAAAATATTTTGAAAAGCAATATTGAACAAAAGATTGTTAGAATAATGTTCTTAACAATATACACCCTTTTAATTTTTGCAAGACATCCCCATTAAGGACTTGGAGGGCTGGCCCCTAAATATTGTTATTCTAGATATCTTTTAAGCTAAAGGAAATTTCTGAATAGTTGTTGAACAAAAAGTCTTCAGAATCACAAACCTTTCATTTGATATCAAGAAAAAGGGGCAGACCCCTCAAATTAGGGGCTCAGAAGGGCCAAAAGTCTGTCATCTTTAATTTTAATGATGAATATTTTGTTATAAATTACTGAAGCAAAAATGTTCATCTTAACATTCTATAACTATATATTATAAAACTTTGATCATATGTTTAAAATAATGGGCCAGAATGGGCCAGATTGCCAAATTTTTGACACATCGAACAAGGGGAAATATTTTGATAAACAATATTGAACAAAAGATGCTCAGAATAATGTTTTAAACAATATGCATCCTTTCACTTTTTATAGACGAATATCTCAGTCAAGGTCTTGACTAATCTTATCCAAAATCAGACGGAAGACCCACTCGTTGCTCGCAACGAGAACCATCTAGTTATTATTATTATTATTATTCTTTTTTCTCCTTACAAAATTTGTGCAGAGGATTTCTCAGAGATGGCTCGTTCGATTTCATTCAAATTTTTAAGGTAGATGCGTTGACATCTGAAGTTAATTCCGGCAAGACCCTTAAGGGATATTTACTTCCGGTCGAGAGTTATCGCCCTTTTATTAAAATTCAGAGGACCTCCTTGTCTGCGATGGAACTCAAAAACGGCTTAAGCTAGAGTGCTGAAATTTTCAGTGATGATAGAGGACATGTTGCCATTTTGCACCTGGGTTTAGATATTTTCCGGAAGTGCCTAGTATGGAAGCTCGGTAGGGGTCGAAATTTAGGACACGAATCATGAGCGAATTTTTGAGACTTTTTGTATCATATCTTTTAAAGTATAATTATTTTGTTAAAACATATTGAACAATATTTGTGCAGAATGACAAGATCTTTGACATGATATCAAGAAAAAAGGGCTGACTTATCATATGAGGGGCCAAGAGGGGCCAAAAGTCTTTAATCAATAACTCTTAAACAAGCAATATTTTTGTATACATTATTGAAGCAAAAATGTTCATCCTCACAATCTGCAACCATATATTTTAAAATTTTCATCAAATATTACGTAATTAGGGGCCATAAGGGGCCAGAATGCTTAATCTTTGACGCTTTATATCTCGAAAAGGGGAAACATTTTGAAAAGCATTATTGAACAAAAGTTGTTCAGAATGATGTTCTCAACAATGTGCATCCTTTTGATTTTTCCTAAACAGCCCCTATAAGGACTTAAAGGGGCGGCCCCTTAATATTTCAAGTCTACATATCTTGAAAACGAAACGAAACTTCTGAACAGTTGTTGAACAAAAAGTCTTCAGAATTACAAGACCTTTCATGTGATATCAAGAAAAAGGGGATGACCCCTCAAATGAGGGGCTCAGAGGGGCCAAAAGTCTTTCATCTATAACTCTTTAATGATGAATATTTTGTTATAAGTTATTGAAGCAAAAATGTTTATCTTTACATTCTGCAACTATATATAATAAAATTTTGATCATATGTTACGTAATAAGGGGCCATAAGGGGCCAGAATGCTAAATCTTTAACCCATTATATCTCGAAAAGGGGAAATATTTTGATAAGCAATATTGAACAAAAGATGTTCAAAATAATGTTCTAAACAATATACACCCTTATAATTTTTGCAAGACATCCCCATTAAGGAGTTGGAGGGCTGGCCCCTAAATATTGTTATTCTATATATCTCTTAAACTAAAGGAAATTTCTGAATAGTTGTTGAACAAAAAGTCTTCAAAATCACAAGACCTTTTATTTGATATCAAGAAAAAGGGGCTGACCCCTCAAATTAGGGGCTCAGAAGGGCCAAAAGTCTTTCATCTATAATTCTTTAATGATCAATATTTTGTTATAAATTACTGAAGCAAAAATGTTCATCTTAACACTCTGCAACTATCTATTATAAAATTTTGATCATATGTTACGTAATAAGGGGCCATAAGGGGCCAGAATGCTAAATCTTTGACACTTTATATCTCGAAAAGGGGAAATATTTTGATAAGCAATATTGAACAAAAGATGTTCAGAATAATGTTCTAAACAATATACACCCTTTTAATTTTTGCAAGACATCCCCATTAAGGACCTGGAGGGCTGGCCCCTAAATATTGTTATTCTATATATCTCTTAAACGAAAGGAAATTTCTGAATAGTTGTTGAACAAAAAGTCTTCAAAATCACAAGACCTTTTATTTGATATCAAGAAAAAGGGGCTGACCCCTCAAATTAGGGGCTCAGAAGGGCCAAAAGTCTTTCATCTATAATTCTTTAATGATCAATATTTTGTTATAAATTACTGAAGCAAAAATGTTTATCTTAACAATCTGCAACTATCTATTATAAAATTTTGATCATATGTTACGTAATAAAGGCTATAAGGGGCCAGAATGCTAAATCTTTGACGCTTTATATCTCGAAAAGGGGATATATTTTGATGAGCAATGTTGAACAAAAGATGTGCAGAATAATGTTTTA